CCTCGAACAGTGCGAGTCCGAAGCTGACTGGCCTGGATCCAGGCAGGCAGGTCAGGTTCCCTCCTGGCCTCCTGCCCTGACTCTTGGATCCTATCAACTGAGACTTAGTTCTTGGGGTAGGGGTGACATAATTTCCGTGGGTATCTAAGCTGGCCCTGCCATCTAAGGGGCCTAGATCTTATCCTCACCTTGCTGGCCCCTGGCAGCAAGTTGGCTTTGACATAGGTGTCCACAGAGCCCGAGGCTGGTGGTTTGAGGCCCTGGAAACAGAACGTGGATGTAGAGAGGCCTGTGGCTTGTCCCATCCCAGGAGCTCTGGCTCCATCCTCACCTTAGCACGATGGGCTGTGCAGTGTAGAGTGCTGTTGTCCTCATCAAAGAGAAGTGTGAACTCCAGGGTACCCAGGGCAGCTAAGGGGGCAGGGGCAGGCATGGTCACCCCACTCCTGCACTCACCTGTCCCACATGGCACAGTGCCACTTGCCTGGCCTCTGCCATGGGTGCTAGAGACACCCCGATCCGGTCCTAGGGAGCACCCCTTCATTGCTTCCCCTACTCACTGCTGTCATCTGAGTCTCCTTCTGGCTCTGGGTTGGGCTGCAGCTGGGGTGCAGAGTGGATGGTCGGGGCCAGCACAGCCTGCGCGTCTGGTGCGCGCAGCACCGGCTCCAGGAAGGGGTAGAAGTGTGGGAAGTAGTCAGAAATGAGGTGGATGGGCTGTATGGGCCCGGGGCTCACGTCGATGGCCATGTGTTCCTGCATGCTCACCCGCTGCCGCCCACCGGCTGGCCCTGCACACGCCATGGTGGCTCAGACATAGAGACTCAGAGAAACTCCCCCCTACTGGAGACACTGGGCACACACCTAAACACCAAGATGGAAGAAAGAAGCATCACCAAGGCTGCCGTAGGACAGACCAAGGTATCCTAAGACTAAAAGGGCAGGGTTGGGGCTCTACCTGGAGGGTCAAGGCTGGAGTCAGCCTTCTGGGGTCCTTACCTGAGACAGCTGTCACACCGCTTTGCTGCTGCTGGTTCTGGGTGTATGCTTAGGGTGACAGAACCTGAGACTAAAGTGACCTGAGCAAATGTGTGACTGAGCAGGGAGGGGTCAGGAGCCCACACCACCCAAGGGCCCTTCCCTAGCACTGGGGGCCCAGCCTTGTCTCCTGCCTCTGCCCCCCCTCCACCCACACTCTGTCAAGTGGAACTATTTTTACCAGCATCATGTGGTCCTGCTGTTGGGTAAGGAGGCCGCAGGGCTAGAGGTGACAAAGAGGGTGTGTTGGGGGTAGTCGGGAGAGGACATAGGTGAGAAGGGCAGGAATGTGGGGAGACGAAGGGGGGGGTGAAGAGAGGGGGGGCTGTGGAGGTGGGCAGGGATGGTGAGGCATCTGTGGGAGAAGTGGGTACAGCAACTGGGAAGGCCCTGCATTCTAGTTCCCTTGAGGAAACCAGCTGGAAATCATGCCACACTCTGGCCCTGTCCCCTGGCTGGGATATAATCAAAGCAGTCATGTCCCTTTGTCTCCCAAGTCTGTCCCCTTGGCCTTATGGTGGCCCTCCGTGCGGTGGAACTGGCCTATCTCTTCCTCTCCATACGGCTCTTCCCTTCCACCTTCCAGACAGTACCTTCTACCTAGACTGGCCTTTGCTCTGGCCATTGGTCACTTTTTTGAGGTGTTCCTGGCAGGGGATCTCACTGACAGTAGCTCGCCAGCAACCCTTCCCCTTCTGCTACCCAACAGCCTATTGGTTTCTGAGACAAAGTCTCACTATGTAACACAAGTACGAGGGGGCCTTGAATTCTCCACCCTCCTAGCTCGCCTCCAGTGTGCAGGCATTACAGGGGTGTGCCACATACTCTGCTTCTTTCACTTAATATTTATTCTGTGTATGTATATACATACACATATGTGAGCATGCATGCAGTGGTCAGAAGATAACTGGCAGGAGTTGGCTCTCTCCTTCCACCATGTGGGTTCCAAAGATCAAATCCTGGTCGTCAGGCTTTAGGGCAGATGCCTTTACCCACCCTGCTCTTTCATCAGCCCTTGCCTTTTTTTTTTTTCTCTCTTTTTTTTTTTTTTTTTTTTTTTTTTTTGGTTTTTCGAGACAGGGTTTCTCTGTGTAGCTTTGCGCCTTTCCTGGATCTCACTCTGTAGACCAGGCTGGCCTCGAACTCACAGAGATCCGCCTGGCTCTGCCTCCCGAGTGCTGGGACTAAAGACGTGCACCACCACCGCCCGGCTTTTTTTTTTTTTTTTTTTTTTTTTTCTTTTGAAACAGGGTCTTTCATTGGCCTGGGTCTCTCCAAGTAGCCTATCCTGGCTGGCCAGCAGCCCCAAGAGATCCACCTATCTGTTTCCCCAGTGCTGGGATTACAAGGGTGTGTCACCATGCCCTGCTTTTTCCCCCTGTTCCACACAGAAGATGCTAAGGTAAAGTTGTCAAAGACTCTTTTAATCGGCTCTGGAGTAGCCTGCTCAAATGAAGGCAGAGGCCCCTAAAGGCCAGGCCTCAACTCCTAGGCAGCTCGGGGACAGCTAGGCAGGGCTGGTAGATGCCAGGGGCCAGCAACTTCAGGGTGAACTCAGTGATGACAGCTGTGAGGCCCCAGACACGGTGTGGTCCATGCAAGAAGACAGGCATTGTGTAGCGGAAGTGGCCACCCTGGCAGAAGTGGGTATACCCCTGGTTCTGGGTCTGCAGCAGATGGGCCAGAGACAGCTCAAATACCTCATCCACCTGTGGGCAAGAGACAAAGAGAGGATGGACAGAGGACTGCCCCTGAATCCCCTGGGACATCCCAGCTCCTCAGTAACCCCATTCACCTCCTCAGGGTTGGGCCTGAGGCTCTGCAGATCCAGTGGGCCCACGTTGGCAAGCACAGGGACTACGGTGGCCTTTCCCTAGGGTAGGAGGAGAGTGATCAGTCAGGCGAAGCAGAGCTGAGAGGCAGACCTCGCTCTGCCATCCAGAGGCCTTGGGCAGTCATGGCCAAGCCCTCCAATCCTTTTCCTTGGCTTCTCACCATGCTGACTGACTCAGGTTTGAAGTGTTTAGAATCTCTTTCCCTTACCACCCTAAAATCTCCCACTTGTCTTTCAAGCCCAGATCAATGCAGCCTACTCTGCAAGCCTTCCTGGACCCTGAGCAGGGCTGGCTCACTCCTTCACTTGGGGCAGAGTGTGACAGGATGAGGGTGGCTCACCCGATCATACACAGGCTGCAGGACACCCCACACGTGCTCCTTGGGCACCTCTAGGCCCAGCTCCTCTTGGGTCTCCCGAAGGGCCGTATGTATTACATCGTGGTCGTCGGGATCACACTTACCACCTGGGAAACTGAATGGGCAAAGGGTGTCTTAGAACGACAGGCCCTCAGGAGGCAGTTTACCTCCCTGTATCATTAAGTGGGGAGCGGGGAGGAGAGGACGACAGGCACTGGAAATGCAGGTTAGGACATGAGGGTCGACAGCAGGGTAAGACTATCTTGCTGCTCAGACACCCCAACTCTGCCTATGATGTCCTGGTGGCACAGATATTGACCCTGGGGTGCCCTCAAGGGGAGCCCCAGACGGCCTTTCTCCAGTCTCCGGTAAGGGGCAGAGTCCAGTTTTTGAAGGGGAAAATTCAGCGGGGTGTGCGGGCCGCAGGTGGTGCGCCGGCACGGCCGGCGTACCTGACTTCCCCCTTGTGCTTCCCGACCAGGCGTCTGGAGCGCAGCGTGTAGAGCAGCGCCGGGACACCGCGCACCAGGCACAGCGGCACGAGCACCGCGGCCGCCGCAGGCCGCGAGCGCAGCCGGGCAGTGGTCCCCGCTAGCAGCTGCCGGCAGCGCCGCTCGCCCTCGGCGGACAAGCAATCAGGCAGCATGTCCCAGACGCCCGGGACACAGAGGGTGCCGGCCAGCGAGGGAGGAGACGCGGCGGCGCGGAGGCTCAGGCGCGGAGCGGGACTTAAGCTAGAGTCGGAGGGGGTGTTGCTGGGGACTGAGGGGCGGAGCCTCAGGGGCGGTCGGAAGCCTGTGCTCCTGCGGGGGCGGGGCCTCGGGTGGCGGGGCGGGGCTTTCCGGAGTCGGGTATCGGAGGCGGGCCGGCCGGGGACTGCCGGAGCAAGGCCTCAGAGGCCGAGGGGATGGGGCCTGCCGGAGCAGAGCCTCGGAGGCGGACAAGGCAGGGTCTGCTGGGGCGGGATCTCGGAGGCGTTCCACACGAAGCCGGCTGGGGCTGTCTCGGAGGCTGTCGGGGGCGGGGCATACTGGGGGCGTGAAGGCGGGGTTTGCTGCTATTGGGCAGCGGAGGTTGATTGGGGCGGGGCATCTGGGGCGGGGCTTGCTAGGCGAGGGCAGACGAGGTTTTGCGTACCGGAACCAGAGCGCCACCTGAGGGAAAGACCGGGCCTAGAGCTAGTGGAGGCGTGCCCGGAAAAGCGGGCCAGTTTGACTTCCCTATCAATGCTGCGGTGTTGTTTTGGTCTTTGTGTTTCCAGAACACTTGGGTGACCTGAATTGAGTGGGTCCTGACTTCAGGTTCGGGGAGTTGAGATGTCTGGCTGCTGAAGATCTGCGGGGCTCCTTGTCTCTCGCCCCTGTGGGTGTCGGTGCTTTCCAGAAGGTCTCACAGGAAGAGCTCTGGGTTAAGCAGAGTCGGATCCTCCGGGTCCTGGGGCGCCCACTCCAAGAGGATGAAGGATACGCGCCTCCCCCAGCCTTATCCCACCAGCCTCTGCCGAGCAGGACTCCAGCCCATGTCCACCTGGACTTTTCCCTCCGGCCTTGCCTGGCTCTCCGAGTCTACACCCGTCCCTACCCTGGCCTGTGTGATCCCTACCTATCATATTAAGCACCCCTTGATGGCCTCTAGCCTTCAGGACCAGCCTTGGAGCACATCATTTAAATGGAGTGATGGGTGTCAGCGGTATTTTGCTGTGTGACTGTGAGCAGAAACCTCTCTGAGCCAGTTACGTCCTTATATGGGTGCACAAAGTGGGGGACACACCAGGTTAAGCACAGCCTTGCTGGTGTCATCACTGTTACCATCACCCTGTGCTCCTGGGTCCAGCTTTTGGATACCTACAAAGGTGATGGGATTATCTGGTCTGGGAGTTCCTGTGGGTGGACAGAAGTGCTTTGACTCCTGGTGTCAAGCAGTTTAATGCGGAGGAAGGACAATCGAACAGGATTTAGAGGAGTCATCTTTGAGGCAGGGGGGGCAGAATTCAGGGCTTCTGGGTAGGAGTCCTGCTTCCAAGACTGGCAGGCTCCAGACTGGCTTTGAGGCAGGAACCGCTGCCATCAGGGCTTCCAGTTGCCCTGCTCTCTGTAGAAGATGTCTCTGCAGAGGAGGGTAGGAGAGGTGGGGCATAGGGTAAAAGGGCTTCCAAAGCAGTTGGCATCACTGGGAGTCTTGGCTAGGCCCCAAGCACAAGGCAGAGGAGGGCAGGAGCCCCAGTCTGGCTGGGAGGGTTGGGTCCTCCTGATCTCCATCAGTGCCGATGTTGGGGAGAGGGTACGGTGCCAGCCGAGCCCTTGGGATTCCAATGTGGCCAGGGGCTCCAGGGTACAGGTCCTGGTAAGGGAGGGGCCCGTAGGTGGCAGGGGCCAGCAGGACCTCTGGGGCAGGCAGCAGCTGATGGTGCGGCTGGGTAGGGGTCCTGGAGTTGGAAGCTGAAACTTTACTGGCTTCTGAGGGAGAAAATGGTTTCAGAGGATCACGGGTTTCCCCTCACATCCCCGGTCCTAATATTGAGGCCTACCCTGCCTGCCTTGTCCTGGTCGCCCATCCTGGCCTGCTTCAGTATTTCTCCTTGTTTTCTTTTCTGCCTGGACTTTCTTCCTTACCTTCTCCTCTATCCCAATACCCTCTCCCAGTCCCCACGCTGGGCTTCCATCTCCAATGCCCAGCTCAGGATCTGCTTCCTCCAGGAAGCCCACCAGGCACCCCTCCTGTGTTCTATACCATGTCCCTGCCCTGCTCTCTCTTCCCTGGGCCTCTCTGCCTAGGTGGGGATATTGCTGATCACGGTGAAGCCCCTTCCTAGAGGCCTATGTGTCCCTGTCATTGTGTTTGGGCTGGGATCTCACCTTTCTCTCGTTCTGCAGAATCCTTAAGCAGGCAGGGACCGAGACTGCTACGACTCCGGGCTGAGATGCTGAACAGTGGCTTTGGGGACACAGGCCTGGAGACAGGGCAAGCAGGAATCAGGTAGGAGGCCAAGGGGAACCCCCACCCCAGACGTTGTGGTCAGAGTCAGATAGGGGATCCCAGGGCAAGCCAGAGGACATAACCGTGAACCAAGTCAGGAGTGAAGGCCTTTGGAGCTGCGTGGGTGGGACCTGGGGCCAGGGCTGGCCTTAGAGCAAGAAGGCAGGAGTGAGGTAGTACCATGAGTCCGCGTCACTCTCTCTGAAGCCTTTGGCAAAGGGGTTGCTGGCGATTTTCAGCTGTGTGATCTACAGAGAGAAAGTATAGTTATGGGCTGGCCTCCAGCCATTGGCCCTGAAAAGCCCACACTTAGCCACTCCGTCCCCTGGGAACTCCCAGTCAGCAGGACCCAGACCCCCTTGGCCTAGGACCTCCAGAGCCAGCATGAAGGCAGATGTCCAGGGGACAGGAGGAACCCCCAGCCTCAGTCTCCACCACTCAGAGATGAGCTGGTCCTCATGAGCTCTGGTATGACCCACCCGGTGGTTCTGATAGGCTGTCACAGCTGTGAACTGGGTCTCCGTGAAAACAAAGGACTTGAAGTTTTCCTGGGCATAGCGGGCGCTGTCCTTGCGTGGGTCCATGAAGACCACATGGAAACGGGGCTGGTAACGGTGCATGGAGTTGAGAATGATCTGTAGGAGGGTGGGAGCCGAGTGCAGGGGTACAGCTGGTGCAGCCACCCTCCCTGGGCCCACGATTCTTCTGCCCCTTGCCCATGGCCCATCTCTGCTCTACCTTCAGAACTACATAGAATCTGGTTACCTCTCCAACCTACCCCCATGTTAGCAAGCCCCGTCATCTTTCAGGTGTATCCTGCCTGGCCTCCCTGCCTCCCCATCTTGTCCTGCCCAGTTTCCACACAGCAGCTGGGCAAGACACGCACACCTGCTCTAAACCCTCTGTAGCTCCATCCACAGAGAGGAAGAGCCAGGGTTCTCTCCTCGGCACCTGGCCCTGTGTGAGAACCTAACCCTTGTCTTCCCTTCAGCCCCACTGGGAATCTCCTGGCAGCCTCCCAACTGACTCCATACTTGGTGGCCTCAGGACCTTTGCTCAGGCTGTCCCCTAGACTTCCAACAGCCTCCTCTCGCACCTTCCTCCCCCTCTTCCTTCTGATACCCATTCAGATGTGTCAGCCCTGCCAGCTCTAGCTCCAGGCCTCATCCCAGTCAGAGTGCCAGCCTGTTACAACCGGCTCAGCCCCTCCCCAATGGCTTAGTGGCTTGCGCCTCACATGGCCGTTGTCATCCATCAGGTTGTTGGTCAGCTTGAGTTTGTCGAAGGACACAATCTGACGCATCCACTGGGCACCCTTGGCTGGCGAGTCAGGGTGGAAGTGCACTCTGCCGGGTGTGGCGGGGTCGGCCTTGCCAGCCACCAGCCAGGCAGAACTGTGGAAGGCATACCTGGGGGAGCATAGTGAGAGGTCAAGGGCTGTCCCCGTCCTGCTCAGTGCCAAGTCTGACCAAGAGAATGGTGAAGAGGCTGAGCCTGACCCAGCATCCTTCGTTTTTGAATTAATTCTGCATGTGTGCATGCCTGTGCCTGCCTCAGGCTAGCCCACCCCTCTGTGCTGGGCTTCCTTCTGCCTAAAGGCTATTGCTCCAGGCTAGGCCTCTCGGGCATGAACTCAGAAGGGCTCCACATCACCCTGCCCGCCCTTGGGGTCTAGTTTCTGTCCTCAGGACCACCCCCCACCCCCCAGGGCCCAGACCTGTATCTCTTGTCATCCAGCGGGATGAAGTCCATGAGCAGAGCATAGTCAGCCAATGTGTCCATGCCCAAGATCTTCACCTGGAAGGTGGGGAACATCCTCCTGTGGGAGAGAGGTGCTCAGCCTGGCCGTGGCCCCCACCCCCTGCCCAGCCCCCGCTGTCCATGCCCACACCTGCCCGCTTTGGTGACGATCATTTCCGTGCCCAGCTGGTTGAATTCTTCCCACAGTGCCTTCATCTCCAACTGTACCATCACACCGGACACACGTGGGTTCTTGGGGCCCTGCCCAGTGGGCTCCACCATGGCTTGGCCTTCTGTGGGCATGGTGCAGGAACCTGATGGGAAGGACATCCCCAGCCGGGGCTCCCAGCTGGCACTGGTCACAGGTGGGGGGTAGGTCTCTGGGGGAGCAAGTACCCCTAGGCCAGCAGACAGGAAGACTGTGGAGAGAGGGTGAATCTGTGAGCCCTGACCTTGCCAGCCTGACTCACTGTCCATTCAGCCTCATCTTTCAAGTAGTATCCACACACCTCTTCCTCCGGAAGGCCTCCCTCCCTGCCAGGCGTCTGTTCCTAGTTTTGTCATAAAACATCACCCCATATTCAGTTACAGTGAACTTTTTTTTCTTTTTTCTGAGACATAGTCTCATGTAGCCCAGGCTGGCCTCAAACTCAATATGTAACTGAAGATGTCCTTGAACTTTGGAGCCTCTTGCCTTCACTTCCCAGGCCTAGGGTTACAACCATGTGTCACCACAACTATTTGGATGGGAGTGTTGAGGCATGGTAGCATTCGGGAGCCAAGGCTGGCCACAAGCTAGAGGGAATCCTCCTGCCTCAGATTTTCAAGTGCTGGGATTACAGTCACTGTTCCTGATCTAAAGTCTTTCCCCCAGAAGATTCTGGAGAGGAGAGACAAGAGCTACATGGCCTTGGACGAGTTGTCTCAGCTCTTGGACCCCCAGGTTCCCTGTCTCATAGGGCAGACATGCACATTGGTGCGGAGAGCCGAGCGTGACACATAGGAGACTCTCCATAGGTGACATGTTCACAGATGGTGTAAAAGCGAGGAAGGGCAACAGGCGCTTAGAAAGTCTGTGGAACCCCAGCTGCCTAGTGTTGTTTACAGGGAAGGGGGCTGATGGGGGGAGGGGGGGAATGATCTTCCTTAGACCTGAAACCTGAGCTATATCCCCATCAAAACCTTTAAATTGTGGCTAGAGTATACATAATGTAAAAGATGTACAGTGTTACCATGTTTAAGCATACAACTCATGGCATTAGGATATTCATGGCGGTGCAAACCCCGCCCCCAACCGCCCCCACGCACACCACGTTCTGGACAGTCTCTGTCACGATTTCCAATACAATCCTTGGCCAAAAGCTCCCAAACTCTCCAGTCTCCCATTTAAAATAATGATACTTGGGCTATGATATGGGCTCCGCAGGTGAAGGAGCTTGCTGCCAGGCCCGAATACCTGAGTTCAATTCCCAGGCCCCACGTGGTAGAAGGAGAAAACTGACTTGTCCTCCAACCTCCGTTCGTGCATACTGTGCTAGTTTGCTTTCTGTTGGTGTCATAAGCGCCAAGGCCGATAGCGACTTGGGGAGGAGAGGGGTTATTTGGCTCCTCATTGAAGGAAGTAGGAACTCCAGCAGGAGCTTGGAGGCAGGAACTGAAGCCGTGGGAGAACACTGCTCACTGGCTTTCTCCTGGGGGGGGGGGCTCCTTCAGCGTTCTCTCTCTCTCTCTCTCTCTCTCTCTCTCTCTCTCTCTCTCTGTTGTTGTTTTGTTTTTGTTTCTCAAGACAGAGCTTCTCTCTGTATATCCCTGGCTGTCCTGGAACTCACTTTGGTGACCAGGCTGGCCTTGAACTCAGAGATCCATCTGCCTCTACCTCCTGAGTGCTGGGATTAAAGGTGTGTGCCACCACCACCCGGCTCTCATCTTGCTTTCTTATATGACCCAGGACCCCCTGCCCAGGGTGGCACCACACGCCAGTGGACTGCATCCTCCACACCAATCTTTAATCAAGAAAAATGCCCTAGAGACATGCCCACAGGCCAATCTGATTGGAGCAATTCCTCAGGTGAATTCCCTCTTCCCAAATGTCTCTAGTTTTCGTGAAGTTGACAACTAACCAGCACACACGGGAAGTAGATAAATATCAACATAAAATAATGGCGATAGGCTGGGACACAGCTCAGCTGCTAGACTGCTTGCCTAGTGTGTGCAAAACGCTGGGTTTGATCCCCAGCACCACATTAAAAACACAGCAACATTGCCGGGCGGTGGTGGCGCACGCCTTTAATCCCAGCACTCGGGAGGCAGAGGCAGGCGGATCTTTGTGAGTTCGAGGCCAGCCTGGTCTCCAAAGCGAGTTCCAGGAAAGGCGCAAAGCTCCACAGAGAAACCCTGTCTCGAAAAACCAAAAAAAAACAAAAAACAAAAACAAAAACACAGCAACATGGTAGTACATGCCTGTAATGCTAGGACTTGAGAGGTAGAGGCAGGAGGATCAGAAATTCAAGGCTCTTCCTAGCTATATAGTGAGTTTGAGGCCAGCCTGGACCACATGAGACCCTGTCTCAAAAAAAAAAGGGGGGGGGGACAATAAAAAGAAAATTAACAAGCAAACAGAATGGATAGGACTCTGATTCAAAACCTGCAAATAAACAAACAGTGATACTATTCTCGGTAAGACACCAGGTCCAGCCATCAGGATGGCTGCTAGGACAAGAAAAGAAGCCGGAATTTAACAAGTGTGGGTGAAATTATGGAGAAACTGGAATCCTAGGGTTGGAGGGAATTTAAAATGGTGCAGTCTTTGTGGAAATCGGAGGCTTCTTGCAAAACTAAACATGGAGTCCCCAAAATAGGAGCCCACACAAAGGTGTCTGCCCACCCACCTCTGGGCAGCATGGCTTGCCATAGCCAAAAGACAGAAGCAATCCAGTGTCCACTGATAGATGAGTAGGTAAATAAAATGTAGCTCACAATGGGCTACTGTTCACCCTGCAAAGGAAAGGACTTTCTGAGGCTCAGGCGCTCTCTCTCTCTCTCTCTCTCTCTCTCTCTCTCTCTCTCTCTCTCTCTCTCTCTGAACATTCTGCTCAGTGAGATAAGCCAGAAGCACAGGGTCAAACTATAATAATTCTACTCACAGAAGGTGAAAAGTTATAGAAACACAAAGTTCAGTGGTGGTTGCCAGGACCCAGGAGGATGAGAAATGTTCAGTGGGGATGAGAGAGTTTCAGCTTTATAAGATGCAAAGAGATATAAGCCGACTGTGGTGAGGGATACACAGCCATGAATGTCCTAATACCTAATGCCGTATGCTTAAACATGGTCAATACAGTAAATTTTACATTATATATCCTTGCCACAATTTAAAGGTTTTGCTGGGGATATAGCTCAGCAATTGAACACTTGCCTAGCATGTATGGGGACTTGTTTTCAATGCCCACATTGGATTTTAAAGCAGGTTATTTTGAGCCAGATGTGGTGGGTGCGCACTTGTACTCCCAGTGCTTGGAAGCTGAAGGTAGTCTCAGCTATATACAGAATTCAAGGTCAGCCTCGGCTACATGAGACCTCTGTTCAATACGGAAACAAAAGTCAGTGAGCACCATTCCAGTCCGGCTGAGGACAGGAGGACCCACAGAATGCATGATGGCCGGGAGGCAGGAGGCCAGGTCTCCATTCCCAACAGTGCCACCAGGTAAGCCTGAGCAAAGGAGGCTGCTGGACAGACAGACAGACGAAGAGAGATGGGGGGCTGGTGAGATGTCTCAGCAGGTGAAATGGTTGCCATGAAAGCCAGACGACCTGAGTGTCGTTCCCGGAACCAAACCAAGCTGGAAAGAGAGAACCGACTCCACAAAAGTTGTCCTCCGACCCCCACAGGAGTTCTACGGCTGCCCCACCCTACCATGCACACTAGCATGCATGTATGTGCAGGAAACTGCACATACAATAATTATAAACAATAAAAAAGACAGTGGCTAGAGGTGTCTAACATGACCCCAGGTAGGCAGTGCCACTGGACTGCTTACAGAGCAGTGAGGACAGGATTTTGCCGCAGCCCTGACTGCCCCTGACCCATGAAGACTGGGCATGTTACAAGATCCTGGGATCGTGGCAGGGGGTGGAGACCTTTGGGAAAGATCGGCTGGATCTGAGGCCGTAGCTTAGGGAGCCCCCCATCCAGTTGCCCAAGTCCCGGAACCCCATCCACTTATGAGGCCACCTCTACTGCCTGAACCATACCGACCTGCCATGTGGATCTCTGCTCAGGCTGGGATGCAGCCTCACCCAGGGAGGGGTAGCCAGCGACACTGGCTTGGCTTCTGTGCTCAGCAACACACTTCACTCGCAAGCATGCACAAGTCCCCAGTTCCAGGACTGTCCTTCACTCCTTGACAGTCCACGTCCCTGGCCAAGGCTTGTCCTCCTGAGCTGGCACTTGGTCTGGATGTTCAGAAAGTCTGGCTCTGGGATGTCTGGGGGTGAGAGGGGTGTCTTCAAACCACCTCTGATCGTAGTGTCTGGAGCTGGGCCACTGGCTGGGTTTAGCTCCAGGGGCAGGCGCATGTGGACGGGGGCAGGTGGGAGGTTGTGACGTTGCAAAGCTCTCTCTCTCTCTTCTCCAGCTAAGAGCCCCCCAGCTATTCCTGATCAATGGGCCCAGTGCAGGTGGGGGTGGGGTGCCATCTTGAGGACAGCCTGGTGTCCACGGGGGGGCCAGGATCTGGCTAGATGGAAGGGCTGAAGGGGAGGCAGCTGATGAGGGCTAAGTGCAGAGGTGATGCCCTCCCTTCTAGCCTGAGACCCAGCCTACTGGTATTGCATGGGGCAAAGGACAAGCAGGAAACACAAGAAGGGCGGGGAGAGCTCCAGATTGGGTAGTAAGATATTCAGATCCTCCCACCAGTCCTGATTGCCTCAGTTTCCCTGGCTTCAGTGAATAATCAACTTGGGGGTGATCCAGCCTTAGCTGAGAACGGCATAGCAGGTTGTGGTCACCTGTCATCTTCATTAGGGTAGACTGAGGCAGGTTGTGCATCCACTCGACCCACTGGTCCCTCTCCAGCCTTGCCAGGCACCTCCTCCAAGCTTTCCCATCTGTCCTGAGGGAAACCTAGTCACTGTCCAGGGGTGGGGCTTCCTCTAAGCCCGCACTTCCTTAGCTGAGAGCACCCCTTGATTAGTGGGCCACAGAATTCACCTGGCCAGGCCACCTCAGCCCACCCTGGGAGGGAATACCTAGGCTTCCTTAGAGTCTGGTGCTAGGCTCGGTTCATAGAAGCTATGGTCTCTGCCAGGGGCAAATGGGCAGGACCCAAAACCACGGCTGGAGGGGTGCTTTTCTCTAAGGGTAGTGCACTCAGGCTAGAATGTCCTGCCTCTCCCTGCCACTCATTCCATGCCCTCAGCCTCAGATTCCAGCCTGAAACTGGACAGACGGACACACACACACACACACACACACACACACACACACACGGATGGGGGGAGGATCCCACCCTGCACAAATCCATACTCCACTGTGTGAAAGACATTGACATTGGCTCTGGAGCTCTCAGCCAGGCAAGAAAGGGGTGCTGTCTGCAAGTAAGGGTGCCAGAGTCTCCCAGGGAACTCCAGTGAAGTGTGCCCCAGCGCTCCTGCCCCAGGATTCAGTGTGGTGGGAGGGAGGAGGAGAGACAAAGGAGAGGCTTGGGGGTTCTTCCCAGTCTGCAGTTCCTCCCCCAGAAGTGGGCCAGCCTGGGCTTCTGTTGGGTCTTGACGTGTGTGTGTTTGCCTTTGTTACATGTAATGGGAAACACACACGTGAGCATAGACATGCTAACTCACATGCCTACAAGCACACTCATGAACTCAGGGGCCCACTCTCAGCAGGACAGTGGATGGAGCTTTTATGTGTGTGTAGTCTGTCTACACAGGGGACACAGCCCGGCACATGAACACATGCACACTATGCAAGGCAAGCCATCTTGCGCCCCTCCCTAACTGGCCTGCTTTCCTGCCCCAGGCTCCTGCTGGCCCCCACTGCCCTCTCATCCATCTTGTCTGCCAGCTGGTCCCCGGCGCACCCATATCCTTCACACCTTCTCATCTCACAGCTCGATACCAGGAGGCAGCATGGCAGCCATGGCCGCAGGGAGATGAATGAGCCAGGCAGACTGCAGAGGCCCAGAGAGTGACGCAGCAGGGGGACAGAGCTCTGGGCCCCAGCATCCTGACCTGTCCTGGGTGGTTGGCAATGCTGTGCCTGCCCAGGAGGGCACCTGGGTGAGGACTGGGGGACACCACTAGGACATTGCTGTAGGATTAGGGAGCCAGGGGTGGAGCCGGAGGTCAGTCCTGGCAGGCACAGAGACCGGGGTCCTCTCAGATTTCAGTTCATGTTCACTCCCCTGATGCTGGTGGGTGGGGGAAGGTAGAGAGGGTGGAAATGGTGGTAAAGGGACTTTGGCTTCTGGTAAGCTTCCTTCTGCCCCGACCCAAGCCATCTCCCCCCAGTGCCCAGCAGCTGGGCAGTTGTCCTGGGCGCACCCCTTCTGCGTCCTGAATCCCTTGACTCACATGGAAATTTGCATCTAGGCCATGTGCTTTGCTACATACAGATCACCTGAAAAGAACATTTGCGGGCCCAGGACTCTTGGGAACACACACATACGCTAAGAACACTTGGGTAGGCACACACCTGGACAAACACAGCTGTGAATGCTTACATGGGCACATGTCTGTAGGGGACTGGGGATCCCTCCTGGGGTCCTAGAAGTCCCTCTCCAGATCTTTCTCCACATGTAGGATCTCTCTCTATTTCCAGGATGTGTGGCTAAATGTGGGCATGGAGATTGCTACCATTGTTCCCAGGTCCAAGGTTACACTGGTGGCCCTTCCCCCAGTTTCCCCTTCAGCATGCTATGCTCACATGTGCAGGTCCATGCATAGTCCTGTGGGCATCCCTCCTCTCCTCCACCCACCTCCCTATTTGAAGAGAGCCCATGCTGGGCAGAGAACAGGAACCGTGGTCTCCAGGCACATTGCATTTATATCATGAGATTGGTTGTCTGGCAAGGGACGTGGTGCCCAGGGTAGGACAGTGGACCCTGGGCTTGGAACTATGCCTTAGGACTGATTGTTCAGAAAGGGAGACTGAGACCAGGCAGGTATGACTTGGGTTAGGGGGCCAGGGTGGAGCTGGAGGTCAGTTCCGGCAGGGCAGGCACAGAGACCCAGATCCTCTCAGATTTCAGGAAAGCCACGTGCTTCTCATAGTAGGCGGCCTCATTAATGAACACAGGGTACACAGTGGAGTTCCCCTCATACAGTACGTCCTCACCACTGAACAGCTTGAAGATGGGTTCACCAGGCCTCAGTGGCTCAAAGTCGTGGTCCTAGGAGAAGAGCCAAGGCCAAGGTTGCTGGGGCCATGACCTCTGCACCCCATCCCCCCCCCCAGGAGGGAGTAATCCAGGCTTGCCAAGGAGCACTGACTGAAGACAGGGTTAGTTTTGAGAGATGTGTCATCAACTACAAGAACTTCATGGAGTATACTATGCAAATTAGGATGGCTATGACATCATCAGGAAATACCCTCTCACCAGAATTGCTTCTGTACAGTCCCCTCGTGGACAAAATATAGAACATGCTTATATTTTTTTAAGGTAAACTCCCTAAAATAACTGTTGTTACATAGCATTTGCAAAGCATATGGGCAGCCCTAACTTAGGATGCTCTACCAGGTGTCAAATACTCTCGAAAGTACTAAGTAAGACTGCTGCAGGAAAAGGCGCAAGACTGCACAAGACCCTGTTCAACAGCGACCCCTTGTGGATAGTTAGATCACAGACACGGGGCTGCTCACATATCCATGGGAAAAGAATATTTGCACTTCCAATCAAGTGACTTGGGTCCTGTCCCCTCCCTGCTGTGGGATGTTCTGTATGGCAAATGTGTTGCTGATTGGTCAATAAATAAATCACTGATTGGCCAGTGGCCAGGCAGGAAGTATAGGCGGGACAAGGAGAATAAAGCTGGGAAGTGGAAGGCTGAGTCAGAGAGACACTGCCAGCCGCCAAGATGACAAACAGCATGTGAAGATGCCGGTAAGCCACGAGCCATGTGGCAAGGTATAGATTAATGGAAATGGATTAATTTAAGCTGTAAGAACAGTTAGCAAGAAGCCTGCCACGGCCATACAGTTTGTAATCAATATAAGTCTCTGTGTTTACTTGGTCGGGTCTGAGCATCTGTGGGACTGGCAGGTGAGAGAGATTTGTCCTGACTGTGGGCCAGGCAGGAAAACTCTAGCTACAAATGGCGCCCAACGTGGGGCCAAGAGTTTCCACCTAAAAACTGAGAAAAAAGATTCTAAAATGGAGCTAAAAACAGCTTCCTAATTGTCTCTCTCAAATGAGTGGCAGCTGCCGGTTTGAGCTACTGGTGGGTTCCTGGCATGAGCGCTCAACCTGCCGTATGGCGGGAACGAGGCCTTTGCAAGTGGCACTTTGAGCTGCGTGGTGGATTTAGCCTTTGCTGATGCAGAGCAAAAGGGGAGGTTTCTGGGCTGCACGCTGCTTGGATAAAGGCATGGACCCACGATGGCTCCCAGAGCTGGCGGTAAGCATACGGCCGCCATGTTGGGAAGCTGTGGTGGGCGGAGCCAGCAGCCACAGCTGCTGCAGTTTAAAGCAATAGATTCACAATAAGACAGATTCAGATGTAATAGTTTAAAATGTGTGTAAAATATATGTAGGCTTGAAAGAGACAAAAAAGTGATATATATAGTTATATAAGCAAATACATAGTTTTAAAAAATAAAGTCTTTAAAGAAACAGTAAAATTAATATAAAAATAAGCCACGTGAAGATGAATATTACACAGAGAATCTGGATTGTGTTGTTTTTGGGATTCTTAACTGCAGAGAGATATTTGATTATAAAGGAAGCTGAGTTAAACCAATATGCATATTTTAAAGGTACCTTGACTTCAAAATTTAGATATAAGGATATGTTGCTTTAAAAAGGAGACTCTGCTTTTGTTCCCACAGAAAGCCAAAGGCTATGGATTTGTTCCAGATTAAGATACATCAGGTTTGACCAGCCAAGACCCCCTGAAAGGTCTCCGATGACACCATGGCCCAGATAACACCATGGCCCAGATGATCCAACATCCAGAATGGTTTGAAGGCATCTGGCTCAGACAATACAGCCTCATGGACTATTCCATAATCCTAAAATTTTCTTTGTGTCCCCATAAGATACAGTGCCCCCCCTCCAGCAGGAAGTAGTAAGAGAAGCCACGCCTAAATTCCCAAATTATATGTAATTTTACTTTGTTAAGGTTAAAACCTTCCTTTTTGGGAAAAAAAAAGGGGGGGGGAGTGCTGTGGGATGTTCTGTATGGCAAATGTGTTGCTGATTGGTCAATAAATAAATCACTGATTGGCCAGTGGCTAGGCAGGAAGTGTAGGCGGGACAAGGAGGAGAATAAAGCTGGGAAGTGGAAGGCTGAGTCAGAGAGACACTGCCAGCCGCCACGATGACAAACAGCATGTGAAGATGCCGGTAAGCCACGAGCCATGTGGCAAGGTATAGATTAATGGAAATGGATTAATTTAAGCTGTAAGAACAGTTAGCAAGAAGCCTGCCACGGCCATACAGTTTGTAACCAATATAAGTCTCTGTGTTTACTTGGTCGGGTCTGAGCGTCTGTGGGACTGGCGTGTGACAGAGATTTGTCCTGACTGTGGGCAGGCAGGAAAACTCTAGCTACACCTCCCCTCTGCTTCTTCAGTCAAAGAAGAGCAGCCACCCAGGAGTGTGAAGATTGCTGTGGCTCCAAACGCCAGGTGCAAGGTGGGGCTCCAGGTGCAGGCGTGGGAGGAACCAGCCTGTGGTCCAGCCAGGGTTCTAAGGCAGTGGGGGCTCTGTCTGACTCTCAGGGTACCCCCCCCACGCTCCCCACAGTACCGACCTGCAGCTGAGGGTGCACAGTGCCAGCCAGGTCACCGTCCGCGGTGCGTGGGAAGTCCACCTTGCCCAAGCTCCTGTAGATGTCTATCTCAAAGGCAGGAAAGGCCTTGCCTATGTAGAGGTTGGGTATGACCGTCTGTCCATTTCTCCGTTTTCCAGGAGCCAGCCCTCTCCTCAGACCTCAGTTTCCCTGCAAGCTATTGTGGGGCCTCACCTTGGTTGTAGAGCTCAATGAAATCCAGAATGGACGCCACCAGAGCTCTCATCCGTGAGAACAGGTCGGCCCGCAGCACGCCCTGAGGCTGGGGGCCCATCTCCAGACCTGGGGACCAGGAAAGGAGATGTTAGGCAGGTGTCCCAGGCCCAGACAACTATAGGAGGTCCTGCCCTTCTGGGTCCTGATTCCGCCCTCCAAGCATCTTCCCACCCCTTCCAACTCCACCTCTCCAGGCCCTGACTCCACCCTTCTGGCCCCTTTCCTCTCCTCCCTGCTGATGCCTCCCACCCCACCCCCCTCACAGATTCCATTCTTGGACACAGATTCCAAGCTGTAGGTCTCCATCCCTGGTGGATCGTATTGCAAGAGGCGGCAGGGCAGCCCCGGGTTCTGCAGCTGTGGGGTGAGAGGAGCCAGTCAGGACCCAGGCCTTCTTGAGAGGGAAACTGAGGCACTGAGGCTGGGAAGAGCAGTGTACAGGAAGCACAGAGTCATCCACCCTGCCCCACCTCTCTCCCTTGGTTGGAAGGTTCCAGAGAGTCTGGAGTACCTGCAGGTGGCAGGCCCCTGTGGACAGGGACAGGCAGAGGTGGCACTGGTCACTCTGCCCCCTCCCTGCCCTCCCTCGCCTGCCCTCTAGGGACCACCTGTAGGTAGTGGCACAGATGCAAGTTGATGGGGTTGTGGGAGGCTTCAGAGATGAGGCAGACTCCAGTGTTGGCTGTGGTGTTGTGCAGGTCTAGGATAAAGTCGAAGGCCCGGTCTGTGCCCTTGGGACCCAGTAGCTCGTTCAACTCTCGGGCTCTTGTCACCTCATATGGGTCATCGGGAGTGGCTGTGGAACTGTGGGGAAAGGAGTAGGGGACACCAGTCCCATCATCTCAATCAATCTCCTTTTTCTTGGCTAACTTCTCACCTTTGAGGGCTTGGCTGAGAATGCTACCTCCTACAAGAAGCCTTCCCTGACTGCTTTTGGCCAGGTTGAATGCTTCATGTAGCACCCCCCTCCCACTTCCTCTGTGTCCCCAGTAACCTGAGGCTCACACCTTGGTCCTCATCCTCATGCTAATCTCACTCCATCCAGCTGGTAAGAGTCTGGCCTAAGGTTCAGTGACTGACCCAGCTTGCCATCAGGATAGACTTTTTGGAAGAGGTGACCATGACCTGGATCTCTCTAAACCAGAGGGTCAATGAGCAAAGGCAGGGGTAGCTTGCTATCCACAGGGGTGGGTCTGCAGGGATGCTAGTACCCGGCTGTGGACCAGCCAACCTGGCCAAGCCTACTCACTTGAGGAAGGTAAGGGTGAAAGTGCGGTTGAGATCACGGTCCATGTAACGGCGACAGGCAGCTGTGGCTGCTGGGTTGGCCAGAACTGGCATGGCTGAGAAGCTGGGTCTCTGCAGCTCCCCTGGGGCCTGCAGCCAATGCCGGACCAGGTGGACGCCACACATCTCATTTCCGTGGGTGCCCCCAGTCACAGCCACTCGGCGCAGGGGCTCCCGGGGCACAGGAAGGGAGCACATCCCAGTGTGGGTCAGGAGTCCACAAGAGACAGAGCTGGACAGTACGGTGAGCTCCCCAGGCCCTGAGGAGTCTGAGACGGGGCTGCTCGTGAAGAGGTAGCTAAGTGGTAGTATCAGCTGTGTCCCACCTGTACCCAGGAGCCAAGTTCAAGGACACCGTCAGCCAAATTTTTGTTCCACTTGGAACCTCAGTCCCGCCTCAGGAACTTTCTTTGAGGGTGGGTGTTGCTCTCCCCGATTTTCTCTTGGAGGAGACTTTCCTTGATGCTTTTAGAAGAAGTTTCTTCCACCTGTGAAACCAACAGGAGAGCCACATTGTTAAGGAGCCACGTTGTCATACATTGTTACTAAGTCTCCAAGCCTTACAAGAAGTTTCTGTTCCCGAAACCGAATGTATCCTGCCAGCCACGTTTTTCAACCTGTGCTGAACTTGTGACCCCAGGATGTATGCCCAGCCCTTTGCCTTGTTAAACCCCTGAACACCGGTGGTGACCCCCCCTTCCACACGTATTCTTGCACTTATCTACCCCACCGGCAGCCTCGAGCCCTGAGTCCCCCACTCTTCAGTCCAGGTGGAACAGCCGATAATCTCCACAGCTGTTTTCTATCAACCTAACCCTTCCCCATAAAAGGGACCTCAAAAGCCAATGAGGGGCTGCTCTCTGGAACCCCGACTTAGGGGGAGACTGTCATCTGGCCAGTCCCTTGTACACCTCTAAATACAGTTGCTTTAATCAGGCAGCTGTGGAAATGTTTTTCCCCACTCAGGTCTAACACCCCTAAGCTGAGAAGAGGGACTCAGACATTCAGAAGGGTGACCTGGTCCCACCCACACCATCCTCACCATAGAACCATACACCCATTTTATAGATGGTGAGCCAATGCCAAGCTTTCCAGGGAGAAGAGACTGTCACCCCATTAGCTATGTAGCAAGCATGTGGGCCCCAGGCCACCCCCGCACCCTCCTCTGAACCGGCAGGAAGCCTCTGCGAGGCCTCTTACCTGCTGTACGTGTCTGGGCTTCCCTAGGCCACAGGCCTGGTGTGTCTGTCTACCTCCTAGTCCGCTGTGTTTACGGGCCTGGAGGCCCCAGGCAGGAAGTATTTGTGCCCAGTTAGTGGAGAACTGGGGGCGGTGGCTGGGCTGAGATCCAAGCAGCCAAAGTTCGCAGGGCCCCACCTCCACCTCCCAAGTTCCACCTGCCCCGACTCCCCACGGTCTGATGGGTCCAGGTCCCTGGGGCAGGCTCCTGTCCTTGCCCTCTGCTCCTCCTCTGGGAATGGGGACAGGTCTGCCTGCCAGGGCCTCTGAGGACGTCTGCTGGAACGGCACTTACCCTTGGAAAATGAATCACAGAGATTCCTGACTTGGACCGATGATTCCCAGTCCTCAGAAAGGATTGGGCTTTGCCGACTGGCAAGGAAGCCCAGGGCCTGGTCCCACATGGGGAGACAAGGCCTGCCTGCTGTCCTGCCTGGATCCACCCGGAGAGGCGCCTTCCATGAGGCTGCTTAGGACAGAGAGCAGTGGGTAGTGACTTGGTTGTGGCTGCACCAGCCCAGTACCTTGGGGGCCATCAGAAAAGAAGTCCCCTTCCTTCTGCCTCTTTTTTTTTTTTTTTTTTTTTGGTTTTTCGAGACAGGGTTTCTCTGTGTAGCTTTGCGCCTTTTCCTGGAACTCACTTGGTAGCCCAGGCTGGCCTCGAACTCACAGAGATCCGCCTGGCTCTGCCTCCCGAGTGCTGGGATTAAAACCTCCTTCTGCCTCTTTAGGGTCACCCTCTACCCTTGCATCTCTCAGGGCACCTCCCCACTTCTTTAAGGCTGTGACCCACGGGGCTCAGTATAGTTCACTGATGCTTCAAACAAAATTGCAGAAGGTTTTGCTTTAGTCTTTGTGGTCTTCAAGGACGCTGTAACTGAAACGGCTTTATTTGCTCTGTTTTGGGAAACAGCCCTCAGACTCAGTTTACAGATGTGGAAACTGAGGCCCAGGCAGAGTAGCTAAGGGTGCACTGAACACAGGAGACAGTTGGACCTGGAAGATAGGGTCTGACCCTTTCCGTTCCCTGCTGCCTCTATAGGGTCCTGGGGAAGGGCAAAGGAGAAGTCCTTGTCCCCTGAACCAGGGCTGTCCCTCCCACTGAGCTCAACTGTCCCCTGGCAGGAGCCAAGCACTGTTCAGAGGTCGCTGAGGAGAGAGGAAAGATGGAGGCGGTGAACTGTGCAGCCCACTTAAGCGTGCAGTCCGATTACCTGTTGGTCCTGCTGTAGGTTCAAGCTGACCAGTTTGGGGCTTCTGGGTGGCCAGGGTCCTCTGGGCTAACTTTCCTCAAAGCCACGGAGATCGCTGACTCAGGTGGCCTGAGCCTGCCCTCTTACCCTCCCCCGCCCTGTGTCTCTGCGAAGTCAATGTGGGGAGAGTGGGCACCTGTGGCTCACCTTTGTTCTCCGCAGAGAGCTGGAGGCGGTGGGGTGTGGTCCTGAGCACCCTTTCTGGAGTCTGGGGCCTCAGCTGAGAGAGGCAGAGACCTCCATAAGGCCTACGCAGAGGGTCACCGAACCTTTTGTCGACAGTTCCTAGCAGTTGTTCACCAAGCCCTTACCCCGTAGGTGGCGGGGGTGTTGGAGGAGATCAGAGCGGATCAGTGCGCCTGGGCCGGCCGGTCTCCTTCCGGGTCCCCGCTGTGTCCCAGCCCAAAGCCTCGGTGTTCAATCTGAAAGCCGCCCAGCTGCTGGGGTCCTGCTGACTCCTGCAGGGACTCAGAAGTAGGAATTCTTGGCTGTTTAGGCGGGTGGCAGTGTTCTAGCCCTTCCTGCCAGGAGGCGCAGAGCTACGGGAGGGCAGCAGTGAGGAGTGAGTGCCTCACTTCCTGGGCTTCTCTGTTTCTGCCGGTTTCTAGAATGGAAATGGGGCTGGGAGCCAACATGTAAACACAATCGTAGTGCTCGCATGGGCTCTCTCTGTGTGTGTGTGTGTGTGTGTGTGTGTGTGTGTGTGTGTGTGTGTGTGTGTGTCTGTCTGTCTGTCTGTCTGTCTGTCTGCAGTCACAGTTATGAACAGAGGCTAGGGGCAGGCCTGATGAGTTATACCCCCAAACCCCAGGAAACAGAGGGGCCCCTGAGAAGCTGTGTCTTCCCTGGGCCTTGGATCCTGTATGGGAAGTGGGGGTGAGGCAGCTGTGGGGAGTAGGGGCAGAGCGAGTGCAAGCCTGGAAAACTGGCATGGGCAAGAACACCCCAAGGTGAACACGGGCTAGAGCAATGCCCATCACAGTATCCACAGGCCCAGCATCTCTCTAGTTAGGGAAGCTGAGGCCCAGAAAGGTATCAGAACCAAGCTCCCCCACTCCCCAAGTTGTAAATCTTGATCCAAGAGGGCCTTGGGGCCTGAGATCCGTGCCTGAGGACCATGGACCCAGAGGCTCTGGAGCCCCTGCCTGACCCTCCACTCTCCTGACCAGGCTATGGCCCCTCTAGCCTGCCTGTCACATCTTGGTCAAGGTCCATCAGCCTTGCTCCCTGTGCCAGGTCCGCTGAGTCCTCAGGGAAGTGCCACTGGCCACCCCCCCCCCCCCCCCCCCACCAGCTTCTCCAGGCTGCTCGGTCCTGTCCACCCTTCACAAATGACCTCCCCTCTCCCTGCCGGTGACTCCAAAGGTGACATCTGAGACACACTGTGTGTCATGTAGCCGCACCTCCAGCTTCCTTCTGGGATGGAATCTCCCAGGCAACAGTGCTCCGGCCACTCTGAGAGGGGGGCTGTGGCCTTGCAGGGCTTGTGGCATCTGCCTGGTGTTTCCTGCCAAGGACTAGGGGATGACAGCCGACTTTGTCTTTCTCTGAATGTGCTTTGGATGCCAGCCCCGGGGAATGAACCAGGGGAGGACCTGGGAGGCTGTGCCACGGACCAGGTCAGAGACCATGCGGACTGCAGTGGGGGAGAGGGCCCGGGAGGGGAGGGGAGTCAGTGAGCACCACAGCGGAGGAAGGCTGGGGCCCAGCTCGGGTAAAAGGTTCACTGAATGAGAAGTTTAAATTTTGAGCCTTGCTGAAGTGGAGACCTGGAAGGGTAGCCGTGTGGGCACTGACCTTGTGGCCAGGCCACCATAACTAGTTCTCGAGGACGGGGGTGTGGGGGGGGGAGGTTTGCGGATGCCGAGGTGGGGACGCTTGGCCCCTTCTCAAAGAGTGCATGGCTAGTTGGGGGGAGGGAGAGGTTGAGGGGTGCCTTTGTTTCTTGTCCCTCAACCCTGCCTTATTAATTTAGGTACCAGGCAGGGCCAGCTCTGGCTGGGTACTGGGGACATGGCAACCAGCCAGAGCTGGCTTCTGTCCCCTTGTGTCTACTTTCTAGAGCACAGAAGCTTGGGCAGGGGGGCGTGGGAAGTCTCTTAGTATTCCTCTGGAGGGCACTGAGAACCCTCTGAGATCCGCAGGTACAGCCCCAGGGGACAGCTCTGTCCTCTGCCCTCTGCACTGTGCCAGGCAAGACTTTTGGCGCTTGGTGCTGCCTCACAGGAGCTAAAGCTGCCACCGCTGAAGGGACAGCGTCCTGCTTCCTGTGGCTGTGATAAAGACGCCATGACCAGAGCTACTTGGGAAGGAAGGGTTAACAGGCCTGCACAAACCCATCACTGAAGGAAGTCAGGACAGGAACTCAAGGCAGGAACCTGAAAGCAGGAACGGAAACAGAGGCTGTGAAGGAACACTGCTTACTGGCTTGTTCCCCAGGGCTTGCTCAGCCTACTCCCTTTCATACCCCTGGACCACCTGCCCAGGGATGGCTCCATCACAGTGAGCTGGGCCCTCCCACCATCACTCAATCAGGAAAATAACCCACAGACTTGCCTGCAGGCCAATCTGATGGGGACATTTTCTCAATTGAGGTTCCCTCTTTCCAAATGACTCTAGCTTGTCTCAAGTTATCAAAACACTAACCAGCACAATCCACACAAGGGCAGGAGGCCCCTGGCTATGGCTGCACAAAGATATATGCTCCTACCTGAGTCCTTCCTACACCAGACCTGGCCTCCCAAAGCCCCTTTACAATCCAGGGGCCCCCCGCTGCTCTCTCTGCCTCCCCACTGCTTTCACTGTGACCCTTCCCTTCAGCTCTCACTCTAGCGCTGTCCTGCTGGCTTCCTGCTAACCTGATGTCCTGGGTTTGGACCAGGAAGGATGATAGTGTCAATTTTCTTATGGCCACTCTAGGTCGAAGCTAATGACCACTGTGGGCCCAGCACCTGTGGCTAGATTTCACCACCAGGACCCACTGGAGCCCCAGGGCAGCTCCCAAGCCTGCCACTCACCTGGCCACCTACTCAGTAACCCATCATCCCTCCATCCAACCACCTCCCAGCCAGCCACCAGCCACACACCCATCTGTTCCTCTCTCTTTTATTCATTCTCTCCTTCATCCATCCATAAGTCCCTGTTCAGTGCCTCTGCGGTGTCCCCCATGTACCATTCTGGAGATACCATCACCCAAAATGTCTAAGACCACACTTCTTTTAATTTCTCAACCTCAGGCCACTAGCTCAGATTTCCTGTGACTCTAAGAATGAGGAGCCCAGCAAGCCAAGGCTGGGGATTGAAAGTGGCTCTGGAGTCAGGGGTAGGGGTGGGGGATTGGGGAAGAACAAGGAACCAATCCCAGGGCCAGGCATGCTGTCTACCCAGCCTCCAGCCCTGTGATCCTCAACAAAGCCCACTGTCTCTCAGCTCGAGCCCTGCTTTCCTCTGTGAACTCAGTACAATCCTGCCTTGACTCAAGGCTTCAGTTTCCCATGTTCAGATGTGGTCTCCAGCTTTTTGTTTGTTTGTTTTTTTCTGCATACCCCTGACTGTCCTGGAACTCACTCTGTAGCCCAGGCTAACATTACAAAGAGCATAAAGATTCACCTGTCTCTGCCTCCCAAGTGCTGGGATTAAAGTCGTGCACCACCACACCTGGTTCCAAGCCTCTATTTTTAAATTTTATTTTCCATGTATGAGTGTTTTGCCTATGAGTATGTCTGGACATCGTATGTGTGCCTGGTACCTGCTGAGGCCAGAAGAGGGTGTTGGATCCTCTTAAACTGGAGTTACAGACGGTTGTGAGCTGTGATGTGGGCTCTGGGGTCTGATCCCAGTCCTCTGGAAGAACAGTCAGTGCTCTTAACCACAGAGCTATCTCTTTAGCCCCAAGTCTCCAATTTCATATTCTACCTCTCACTACCTCTTTCTAGGAGTAGAGATGTAGCCAACACATGCACACAGCCCTCCCTGGGCCAGAGCAGACATGACTAATCAACCATGCTTTCCTTCTTTTTCATGATGCTTCCTAGCCTGCCATCCTATGAGCTGAACTATATTCTGTTGTGTCTGCTGAGTCATGGGAGATAGAACCTCCTGAAGCCATGAACTATGTGAGAATCTTCCCTCTTGAACTAGCCTATGTAAAGTCTTTTGATAGAAGTAACAGAAAAGTAACTAATGAACACACTTCAGACAGATTCACCAATTAATCTGACCTGGGTTCAAGATCATGTCACTTCAGATGGGACAAAGCCACCCTCCGGGTGTGGATGGAGCTGTGGGCCACTGCTCTGTCTTTTGGGACCCTGTCTATGATCTGACAAAGGAAGTCCTCCTCAGTCACCAGATCTGCCCAGCCTTGGGGAGGGGGCTTCTCTGTCAGCAGACCTGTCTAAACAGAGGGTCAGGAGGCTGCTGAGGGGGCTGTGCTCTGGGAAGGGATTGGACCAGCCACCTGGAGGTCCTGCCTGGCTGCAGGTCTGTTCAGAAAAAGTTCCAGAAGTGGGGTGTTCACAGGCAGACACCTGCCTTTCGGGAACCACTGGGGATGTGGGAGCAGCTGAAAGCTCAGGTAGGTCAGGGGCTGGGGAGCAGGGGGGAGTCAGGGTGGTGCTCATAGAAGGGTGCAGCTCTGGGAGCCCATGGCCCAGCTTATCAGCTGCTGGTTCCAGGGACCATAAGGAGGGTATCGGAGGTCATTAAGCTTTTCCATCCCCGGGCTGCGCAGCAGACAGGCACGCTGGTGGGAGAAGGTGTCGAAGGAGAACTTGCCGTGGTACCTGCCCATTCCACTGTTGCCTGCAAGGACACGAGAGTGAGCGTGTGAGGACAGCACCTGTGTAGCCCTGCTTGGCAGCCTGGGTAGCAGCCACCTGCCCGAGCCAGAAGCCCAAAGCTTGCAAGAGAACAGAGAAAGGCAGGGCAATCAAATAACCATTTTACAGACAGGGAAACTGAGGCCATATGAGGCCCAGGGCCTACATTCAGGTGGAATAGCAAAGGCCTTTCTGGGGCTGGGGCTGGATTGTGGAGGGGGCCAGGAACTCACCAACTCCCCCCAGGGGCAGGGCGGGTAGAGTCAGGTAGAGAAAACCATCGTTGCCTCCAAAGCCACCACTGCTGGTGCGTTCCAACATCTGGTTCACCACCTGAGAGAGGCGGAGCGCATGGGGCAGGAGGTGAGCCCTGACTGACTGTCCCACTGGGGGAACAAAGAGTTTTCACCCCTACATTGCCTTTCCCAGCTCCTCCCTCCACTGAGCAGTCCCTTATTATAAGCACCCACTGGGGGCGCACTTCATAGGGATATGTAGGGCACAAGTTCATGCCCATTACCAAGACCATGAGGAAGTCACGACTTTGTGAGGGTGTGGTGGATCCCCACTGCAACCAGCCAGGCTCTGCCTGTGCGGTCCTGGTCGGTATTGCCCTTCAATCCCACAGGAGTTTGGTTTATGAGGAACTTTGTGCAGCTCAGAACGGGGGAGGGGGCTCCCTCCACACCTCTTGCTGCAAGTGGAGGCTGCCCCAGCCAGGACGGACAGGCAGCTGGCCAGTCATGCACCTGGCACCTGTGTCCCTGCCTGTGTCCTGTCCTTGGGTGTCCCTGCCTGTGTCCTGTCCTCGGGTGTCTTTGTGCAGTATCCAATGGAACTAGGTTGGTTGCTAAACTCAGAGCATCTGTCTAAAGCCCCAAGCAGGAGGTGTGGTCAATTGCCCCCTTTCCAGCTCCTCGGGGCCCCAGCCCTGGCGGACCCCAGCCCTGGCGGACCCCACCTGGCTGCTGTTGGAGAAGGCATACAGCGCCAGCGGCTTCTCCCGCTTGTTAATGAAGTCAATGGCCTCATCCAGGCTTTTCACGGTCACCACAGGCAGGATGGGCCCGAAGATCTCCTCCTGCATCACAGGCTCTGATTCCTGCACATCTACCAGCACCGTGGGTGCTGTGGACAAAGTGGGAAACAGCCTCACTGGTTGTCGGGGCTTGGATGAAAACAAGGTTCCAGACTGGAGAGTGTGAGGACCTGACCTATCAGGACTCCGGGGTCTGAGTGCCCAGAGACCGGGCTTCACTGGGCAATGAAAAGCAAATGAAAGTTTAAGCCCATAAATCTGGGTCCCAGCTCAGTGAGTCTAAAGCTGTGGGGCCCAAGGTTGGAATTTAGGAGCCACAGGCTCAGCCACAGTTAAGGCACCAGAAGAGGTGAACTTAAGGATCCGAGACTCATGTTGAAGCTCACATTTAGGGTCTCACACAGCCCCCTTCAGTATCGAAGAGCCTCAGCCCAGGTGGGCTGTGTGCCAGTGATGGGTGCAGAAGACTCACCAATGTAGCATTCTCCCTCATCGCTCTGGCCACCAATGGCCACGCGGCCACAGCCCAGCAATCCCTGGAGACGCTTGAAGTGTTTCTGGTTAATGATTCTGCCCAGGTTGGGGGAGGTCTGTGGGTTGTCTCCATAGAAACGTGTGATGGCATTCTGCAGGGCCCGCACCAGCCGCTCCTGCATCTCCTGGCTACACAGGATGTAATCGGGGGCCACACAGGTCTGGCCAGCATTGAAGTAGCGGAACCAGGCCACACGGTTGGCTACGGTCTGAGGGTCACAGTCGTCATCCACATAGCAGGGGTTCTTACCCCCCAGCTCCAGGGTGATGGGCGTCAGGTGTTTGGCAGCAGCGGCCATCACGATCTTGCCTACTTGAGGGCTTCCTGAGGACATGGTCAAGAGACACTATCTTCACCTGGCAAACTGGTCTAGGCATAAATTTTGGCCTCCTCTCTCCACAGAAACCTTTCCCAGTCCAAGTTCTGGGCTGTTCCACCTATCCTGACCACCCAGGATCCAATCTCCAAGATTCTCAGAGGGCCTGGACTGGACCTCAGGGACACCTCCACCTCTTGATTGGTTCCCTATCCTGGCCTATGGCCTTATGTTTCAATATCTTCACACTGTATTCTCTGCTGCCCCCTATCCCCAGGATCCTGGCCAGGGCCATCCTTACCTGTGAAGAAGATATAGTCAAATTTATGTTTCAGCAGCTGCCCGGTCTCCTCGGGCCCACCCAGCACCACAGCAAAGCAGCTCTGCAAGGCAGGGTGACAGCTCAGGAGGCCGGCCTGAGGACAGCAGGGACTTCCCCACTGGCCGGGACACGGGTGTGGGGATGCCGGGTGCTGACAGGCAGAGCCATGCCCACCTGGTCCAGATACTGGGGCAGCAGCTCGGCCAGCACCTTCTCTGTGTTCTTGCTTATCTCTGATGGCTTCAGCACCACGCAGTTCCCTGCAGGAGTCAATGGGGAAGTAGAGGAGGGAGCTGGTGCCTGCACCCCCCAGGGAACTCTGGATGCCCTCTTTGGGAAGGACCCTCAGACTAGGGGGCCCCAAAACCCCACTCACCTGCAGCAATGGCCCCCACTAGGGGCACGATCATCAAGTTCAAAGGATAATTCCAGGGTGCAATAATAAGCACCAGGCCAAAGGGCTCCTTCCGGATGAAGGCTGAGCTCAGTTTTGTGAGCTAGGATGCAGGATGACAGTCAGGTGTCAAGTGAGGAACAGTCTCCCCCTGTCCCCGCCTGCTCCCCTGCACATGGGTCCTCACCTCCCTGGCTGATGGGGTCCCCAATGAAAAGACTGGCTTACTTTGGTCTCTAGGGCAGGAGGGGGCCTGGGGCAGGCTGCCCTGTGCTCTGCCACCCCACTGCCACCTCCACCTACCATCACCCAGCCTACAGGGCTCACCAAGTTGGTGGACACAGACTCATCCTTCATCCAGGTCTGCAGGTTCTTGAGGGCCAGGTCCACCTCATTCTGGCACAGGATGATCTCACTCATGTCTGACTCGAAGGCTGACTGTGGGGTGGGGAGATCAGGTTCAAGGCTGGGCTGGGGTCTACCGTTTGGAAAGGGCGTGAGGTGGTTTCCTTGAGCATATAAATGCAGTATATGGTTCCATGGGGACTAATTCCGGAGTGCCACTGCCTGGCTTTGAGACTTTGAGCAAGCAACTTAACACTTGCCTCAGTTTCCCTATTTGTGACCTGAGAACAACCATCCAGCTGGCCTCTCCGTGATATTCTGTGTGTTGTCAAGTTAGAGTTGCATTCTGTTGCAAGGGTTAAACACGCCAGGAGGTTTGCTCCTCATCAAGGGCACAAGATCTCGGAAAGGATGTGGCCCAGCTTGGGAAGGACACAGTTGCACCTGTCTAGATGCCCCTCCCATCCCCTCACAGCACCTTGCCCACGTCCTTGGCCAGTGCATCCTGCAGCAGCTGCTTGTTGTCCTGCAAGAATTGGCCCAGTCTCTGCAGCTGTGCTGTCCGGAACTCAGCAGGCCTAGTCCGCCCTGCGTTGAAAGCCTCCCGCAGCCTCCGGAGTGTGTCCTCAGAGGGGTCCACCCTGCAGGATGGGACAGTGTTCACTGGTGGCTTGTGCACCACTCAACCTTTGGGAAGAGCTTCAGCAGCCCGAGGGCCCAAGGCAGCCCGCAAATGCATGTCAGTCATGCCCCACTTGCCCATCCTCCCAAGCCCCTACCCTGAGGGGGTTTCATATCCCTTGGATGAAGTTTCATACCCCATGGACCAGTTGCTACAGAATGGTGTTGCGTGCACATGGGTGTTATTGTATGTGTCTGATTTGTTTTTTGGTTTTTTTTTTTAATGACTTTTTGTTTGTCACTGTTTAAAATAAGCAATTTAATAGCTTTCTTTCTTTCTTTTCTTTTTAAATTGTATTTATTATTGGATGTGAAGAGAGGCACTCATACTGTGTGTGTGTGTGAGGGTCAGAGTACAAATTGTGGGGTCCGTTCTCCCTTCCACCTTTCTTTGGGTCCCCACAATCAAACACAGGTCACCAAGCTCGTGTGCGAAGTGTCTGCCTTGCTGGGCCATCTCATCTCACCAGTTCCCCCCCCCCCCCCCCCCCCAGAGTGCAGATCCACTAGGCTCCAGAGTAGAGCTGCCTGGTAGGGCAATCTCCAACCGGTTGAGCTGCAGGCTGCTCAGTGAGCTTCAGGTTCCCAGCTTTGTGAGCTGTCACGTGCTGGGGTGGGCCTTGAAGATGCAGCTGTCCCTGAGTCATTTCTGCTTCGTAAGTCACCCCTCACCCATCTCCTGGGAGTGACCTGTAATTAAAGTCATTGGTTGACCAGGTTGGACTTTGGTGGTAGCCGTACTTTGGTCTGTCATGGGATCCCTATCTGGGGTGAGCAGATCTTTGTGTTTTGTCCCCGCAGTAGAAGTTTTGCCACACAACAGTAACCCAGGCCTGCCTCCAACTATGATGCTGATATTTATATGCTTGTGTGTGCATGTGCATGTGCGCCGGTATCCACGAGTGCCTGTTTTCAAGTGTCTACAAGTAAGGAGTGTGTGTCAGTGGGTTTATCTTGTGTGCACACCTGAGTGTCTGTGTACATGTGTCCTGTGCGGTGAGTTGGGTGGGAATAGGTGTTGCTTTGCATCTGTGTGGACAGGAACAGCACATATTGGGACCTGCTCACAGCCCTGAGAGGGAGCAGGAACAGCACCTCTGTGGTGCCCTTGAAGTCCTGCTCCATGCACACCTATACCCTCTCCCTTGACTTCATCAGGTCACCATCCTAGTTAATGACATCCCGGCACACATCCCTGCAGACAGTGCCTCGCTTGTGGACAAAGTTACTCTCAGAACAGTGTCAACACACACATCCACAACCACGGCAGTGAACAGAATCTTACAACAGTGCCCCCCTGTGGACAGAACTCTCAGAACAGCGCCCCCTGTGGACAGAACTCTCAGAACAGCGCCCCCTGTGGACAGAACTCTCAGAACAGCGCCCCCTGTGGACAGAACTCTCAGAACAGCGCCCCCTGTGGACAGAACTCTCAGGACAGCGCCCCCTGTGGACAGAATTCTCAGGACAGCGCCCCCTGTGGACAGAACTCTCAGGACAGCGCACCCCTGTGGACAGAACTCTCAGGACAGCGCCCCCTGTGGACAGAACTCTCAGGACAGCGCACCCCTGTGGACAGAACTCTCAGAACAGCGCCCCCTGTGGACAGAACTCTCAGAACAGCGCCCCCTGTGGACAGAACTCTCAGAACAGCGCCCCCTGTGGACAGAATTCTCAGGACAGCGCCCCCTGTGGACAGAACTCTCAGGACAGCGCACCCCTGTGGACAGAACTCTCAGGACAGCGCCCCCTGTGGACAGAACTCTCAGGACAGCACCCCCTGTGGACAGAACTCTCAGGACAGCGCCCCTGGTGGACAGAACTCTCAGGACAGCGCCCCCTGTGGACAGAACTCTCAGGACAGCGCCCCCTGTGGGCAGAACTCTCAGGACAGCGCCCCCTGTGAACAGAACTCTCAGGACAGTGCCCCCTGTGGACAGAATTCTCAGGACAGCGCCCCCTGTGGACAGAACTCTCAGGACCCCCCTGTGGACAGAACTCTCAGGACAGTGCCCCCTATGGACAGAACTCTCAGGACAGTGCCCCCTGTGGACAGAACTCTCAGGACAGTGCCTCCTGTGGACAGAACTCTCAGAACCCCTGTGGACAGAACACTCAGGACAGAGACTGTTCCTAAGAACAAGAGGCAAAGTCGAGCAGCCACTGCAGGCTCTGAGGGGCTGTCCCATCTGAGGAATGTGGGGAGACAGGAGAGTACAGACTTGCCCTCCTCCCCAGGACAGTGCTGCTGATTTCCTGGCTGAGGCTTCCACATTCATGTCCCCTTCCCCTGGGGCCGGCAGCAGGAGGCAGCTCACAGCAGCGTTGCTGAGGACTGTCCCTGAGCAGGCTCAACTCCTGCCAGGCCTGGATGGGGACCCAAACCCTCCTTCCTTACAGCCAGGCCTGGGGGAGCCCCCACCTAGACCCCTTCCCAGGAGGACTAGGGCCATTCCCTGCAGGGGCTCCCTGGAGGAGCTGGGCCTGGCTGGGGATGCTCGGTTCCCCACTCCTGGACGGCTGGCATGGTTGGTCTAGATGCTAGGCCCTAGGACATTCCAGGTCTCTTCCTGAGAGCTCCTTGTGGGGGGCCCACGTCACAGCCTTCACCAGTGCTCCCTCTGCCTGGGCTCTATGAGCTCCTGGTCACACTGGTCTTGCTCTAACATTGTCCATGGCTTCCTACTGCCTTCATGGGGCTGAACCTGGGATGTGCTGAGGCCCCCAGGGCTCCTTAGTGTGAGGCAGCCTACTTCCCTCAGCTTGGTTATAATCTGGAGGATTACTGTTGTCCGTTCTGACTGACATGTCAGTGATGTGGCACGAGACTGCAATTATTCGGGATCAGCACACACAGACACCTCTGGAGGCAGGGCCAGAGAGTCATCAGCCCGGCTCTCCCTGCAGGGATGACACAGGGACACTGGGCTTTGTGGATGTGAGGCAGCCGCTGCAAAGGCCTTGTGGTGCAGATTTTGAGCAATGAGATGCAGCAGGGCAGTTGTTGTGATGGGACCTCTAACAGGGAGCTGTGATAGAGTCTGTGGACATCAAATACAATGTGGAACAAAGCTAGGAGGAAGTCAGAGCAGCAGTTGGACCAAAGGGTGGCAGTGCCATCTCATTTAAGTCCTGAAGATATCATTACCCCATACTAAGGATGAGAAAGTCAGACTCAGAGGGTCCAGCTGATTCATCCTAATTAGCTTTGCCTGTCAACCTGACACAGCCTAGAGTCACCTGAGAAGCACGTCACAGATGAGGACTTGCCCAGGCCAGGTTTGCCTGTGTGCGTGTCTGTGGGGGGTTGTGTTGACTGCTAGCTGACATCCATCGGAGGCCCAGTCCACTGTGGGTAGCACCATCCCCTAGGTCGGTGGTCCTGGCCTCTATAAGAAAGCTAGCTGAGAAGAAGCCTGTGAGCTACAGAAAGCAGCACCCTCCATGGTTTCTGCTCTACTTCCTTGGCTTTGAGTTGGCTCCTGGCTAACTTCCCTCAGTGATGGTCTGTAAACTGTAAGCGGAAATCAACCCTTTCCTCCTGTGAGCTGCTTCTGGGCAGGGCATTTTATCACAGTTACAGAGAGGAAGTGAGAAAACCCTCCTCAAGCTTATCAGCCCCCATGGATCTCTCCTCCACCAACACTGTGGCCATGTTCCAATGTGTGTCCCACACGTGGTGTATGTGGGGTTATGTGTGTGTGTATGTGTGGTGTGTGTGTTCACATGTATGAGTGAAAGCTTGTATGTGTGCAGATGCATGTGTGGGTGTGGGTGGAGACCAGAGACTGACACCTGCTACCTTCCTCAATCCCCCTTTATTTAATGAGCCAGAATCCATCCCTGAACCTAGAGCTCACTACTTTGGCTGCTCTAGTTGGTGTGGCCGAGGGGGCTTCCTGTCTCTGCTTCCCAAACAGTGGCTTAACAGGTGGGCTGGTATGCCCACCTGGATTTTGCTTGGGTGTCGGGGATCACCATGTATGTGATGGGTTTGGGGCAGGGTCTTATTATGCAGCCTTAGCCAGCCTGGTACACTTGAAGCAATCCTCCTGCCTCTGAGTATGGAGGCGACTTGTTGTGCCGGCTGCCACACTAAACTTTTAGTTACATGTTTTTATCATCTCCTCCATGCCTGTTGGTAGCATCCAACTTTTCTAAGAGAATGTCACATTTCCAGAGCCACAGTGAACAGGGCTTTTTTTTTTTTTTCCTTTAAGACCAAGTCCCACTATGTAGCTCTAGCTGGCCTGGCACTCTCTACATAGATCAGGACTCAGACTCATAGAAATGCACCTACCTCTGACTTCAGAGTGCTGGGATTAAAGGCATGCACCATTCAGCGCAATGATAGGATCTTTTGTTTAAAAAAAAATCATTTTTATTTCATGGGCATTGGTGTTTTGCCTACATGTGTATCTGTGTGAGGTTGTTGGGTCCTCTGTGTGAGGGTGCTGGATCTCCTGGAACTAGAGTTACAGACAGTTATGAGCTGCCGTGTGGGTGCTGGGAGTTGAACCCAGGTTCCCTGGAAGAGCAGCCAGTGCTCTTAACCACTGAGCCATCACTCCAGCCTCAACTGGATTTTTTTTTTTTTTTTTTTGATTGAACCCAGGGCCTTGAGCTTGCTAGGCAAGCGCTCTACCACTGAGCTAAATCCCCAACCCCCCGACTGGATCTTATGTAGCTCATGCTAGCCTCAAATTTGGTATCTAGCTAAGGTTGACCTGGAACCCCTGATTCTCATGCCTCTGCTTCTACCTCCCAAGTGCTGGGGTTATATCCATGTGCCACTACATGCAGTTTATGCTGTCCTGGGTCAGACACGGTGCTTCATGCACACTCGGCAAGCTCTCTACCAGCCCTGCCCCCAGTGTTTCCTTTCCTTTTTTAATTTCTCTTTTCTTTTTGAAACAACTCTCACTATGCATTCTAGGCTGTCCTTGAATTCATGACCCTACTACCTCAGCATCCAGAGAGCATACAGCTGCACTGTTACTGTGGCTTTTTAAACCTAAAGCTGGATTGGGTGTGGTAGCACATGCCTTTAACTCCCAGCACTCCAGAGGCAAAGGCAGGTGGATCTCTGTGAGTCTGAGGCCATCCTGGTCTACATAATAAGTTCCGGGGCAGCCAGAGCTATGTAGTGAGACCCTTGCTCAAACAAACAAAACCCTCAGCTCTGGCCTGGCAGCCCCCTCCTTTCTGGCACCCTAATCACAGCTCTGGTGTCCCTTGCCAGGTCTCCATCTGCTCATATGGCTGTCACCTTCAGCAGTATGGAGCTCCTCCAGACAGGATGGGTTGTCCCCAGTCCTAGGGGTCTTGAGTGCTTCCTATCTGTCACAGGAACATGAGGCTCAGAAGGAGAAAGCAGAGAGCTGTACCTCTGTCCTCAGCCCCTGGTCCTGTTGCCACCGTCCTGTCCTAGGCTCAGCAAGTGATCTCAACCCCTTGGCTCCCAGCCCCGTCCCTCACCTATGACCCATACCCCTTTCCACCAGTGACTGTCACCCACCCAAGGCCTTTTGCACTAAGACCCTCTGCCGCCAGTACCCGTGACCCTACCTACCCCAGCGAGGGCTCCGAGCCTGGGTCCGTAGCAGACATTCTGGTTCCAGATGTGTGGCTCCTTTTTTAGCCAGGCTCTCTCTTGCCTCTGCTGATCCTTCTAGGTGGGACCACAGTAGGACCACACTACCCTGGCGGTGCAGACCGGGGCTCTAACAGATGGTGGGTGGGGCAGCCGCCTCCTCAATCCCACACTCTCCCTCTGCACTGCCTCGCGGGCACAGCTGTAGGGAACCGGAATGGCAGGCTGTGCAGGCTTCTCTGTGGGTCTGAGTGTTCTGGAGAGGCTGACAGGAAGTTAGCAGTGGGGAGAAAAGTCATGGGGGTTGGAGGTGAAAACAAACCTCCTCAGGTCCCTGACAGCCCTTCCAGGTCCCTCCAGGAAGCCTCCACAGGCTAAATCATCTCCATCCTCTCTCACACACACAATCAGGGTGTCCCTGTCTAGAAGAGAAACTGTGGTACTTTTATTTGCACTCCCCTGTGACCAAATGACACAGGGGACAGAGGAAGGGGCACTGACGGTTGTAGAGGACACGTTGCAGGCAGGGGAATTGCTCCAGTGGGGGAATGTCACTCATGTCTGTATTTCCTATTTACTGTGTGATCCTAGTCAAGTTACCTACCCTCTCTAAGCTTAATGTCATATATATATATATATATATATATATATATATATATATATATATATATATATATATATAGAAAATTTTTCGTGTATGAGTGTTTTGCCTGCATGTATATATGTGTACCATGTTGCATTCCTGGTGCTCGCAGAGGCCAAAAGAAGGCATCAGATACCCTGGAACTGGAGTTACAGATGGTGTGAGATGCCATCTGAGTGCTAGGAACTAGGCCCAGGTCCTCTGGAAGAGCAGTCAGTGCTGGTAACCACTGAGCAATCTCTCCAATCCCTTATTATCATGAGAGTTTTGAGACTGTCCTGGGAGTGGGAAGACAGGATCTCAGCTTCTGGCACAAGTCAGGGTTTCTGGGGCTGCGGTACTGGTGGCTCCCAGTGTTTCTATGAACACTCACTGAGGACCTCCTAGGGTCTGAGAAGCAGGAGACTGAGCTCAGGCCCTGCTGCTGTCTCTCACTGATGGCCACACCCTGTCCCCACCCTCCCTGACCCAGGCATCAATACACCCCCAGTTCAGGGTTGCAGAGAGGGTGTCTCTGGGCCAGCAGGTGTCTGCCATAACCCTTCCTTGTGGTTGGATCTGAGTCAGGGGGAGCCACAGCACACTACAAACCCCTGACCCCTGAATCTTTGCTAGTTTTAGAGCTAAATGCCCAATGTGGGTCCAGGAAGGGAGCACAGTGCGATCCAGGGGGTCAGAGGATGGTGTCTCAGGGGTGGCCTTGCCTAAGAGCATCAGGAGGGTCCCAGAGATGATTTCCCATGCCCAGTTGTGAAGCCATACAGTGTGCAGGCTACAGGCTGTGTGAATCCTAACTCAGGAGAGCTGCCATTTCAAGAAAACTAAACCATGGAGGAACCCACATAGCCTGTGAATAAAATATCCCAGATCCCAACAGCAGTGGGCAGAGTGTGAAATGAAATCGTTAAGGAGCTTCCTGGACCCTGCTCTGTCCTGTCCTGGGGCTGCTGTGACAAGTGACTCCAGGTGGGTGAGAGCAGGGTTGTGTTCTCTCACAACACTGAAGACAGAAGTCCACAACTGAGCCAAGTATGGTGGCTGATATGTGTAGCTCCAGTCCTCATGCAGCTGAGCCAGGAGGGTTGCCATGAGTTCCAGGACAGTCAGGACTACACACTGAGACCCTATCTCAGACAAGAAAAAGTAAATAAAAATATGCTGAGGCCCTGATCCCTAAAAGCCTGTGGGGGAGGGGCCCCTTGCTTCTTCCAGCTCCAGGTGACTGTCAAGAATCCTGGTTTGTAGCCACACCACCTCGGTCTCCTCCAATCTTTACCTAACCTTTGTCTCAGGACACAGCTAATCCTGCCTCTGTCTTGTCTCAGAACACATCAGCCCAGCCCCCCTTTCTCTTTCAGCAATCCTGGCCTCCCACATGCTTGGCAAATACTCTACCATGGAGCTACTCCCTGCCCCCTGCTTCTCTCTTATTAGGCTCCTGAGACTGAAGTTAGCACCATGTGGATGACCCTCTCGCCAAGATCCTTAGCTCCATCAGAAGTTGTGGTGGAGGGAACTGTGGCAACATTCCCGCTGGGCTACACTTGGCCTGCCTCCAGAGAGCAGCACCTAGCCTCAATCCATCTTTAAAAGTTCAGCAGATACCCTTTGTTTCTCTTGCCACCCTATGGGAATCTTGTCTGAGTGTCTCCTAAGGATACAAGCCTATGCAAAAAGTTGGTTCAGGAAACCCGGAGAACTGTGGTACCTGATGAATCGAGAAATTTGTGCTTGGCATTGTATTTTTGGAGGCTTCATTCAGGTTGTTTTGAGCATATGGAAATGAACTGGCTAAACTGTAAATATAGAGAAAAATAAAGATGCTCTGGGAGAAGGGAAAGTGTTTCAGTCATTAGAGATTGGATCCCCCTGCAGCCACGAAAGGCTAAATTCATTCTTAAGGTGCCTCTGAGTTTTCTTTCCACGGATCTGTGTGAATCCACACCCCTGTTGTTATGAATTATTATGACGGGGCCCCATGGGTATCCCAAGTGTGCAGGGAAACATGCTGGGCAGATGCCCGCCATGCGGGTATGACAGCTGCAGCAGCCAGTAATTCGCAGCCCAGACGCTGCATCCACATGGAGAGTTTATTATACTAGAGAGAGAAAGAGGCAGAGAGACAGACAGAGGGAGACAGAGAGAGAGAGAGAGAGAGAGAGAGAGAGAGAGAGAGAGAGAGAGACAGACAGAGACAGAGACAGAGACAGAGGGAGACAGAGAGACAGAGACAGAGACAGAGAGAGGGAGGGAGGGAGAGGGAGAGAGGGAGGGCGGGAGGGAGGGAGGGAGGGAGGGAGGGGGAGGTGCATACCTCATGGGAGGAAAAGAGAGAGAGAGGAAGGGGCAGAGTTTTTCCTTAAAAAGAGGCTTCTACGTTAGGACACAGGACAGCCCCAAGGGTCAGGATCAGAATATTAACATTTCTCCATTTTGATTACTATAAAAAGAGGTGAGTTAGGGGAGCAAGTCAGGCAACAAGGGCACTGAATTCCCAAGTGGGGAGGGGGAAGCCGGGAGTCACGCATGGTGGGAGGCGCGAGTGAAGAAGCATTGTTAGCTGTCATCGTGGAAATCTCTGGTGTGGAGATCTCAGGTGTCTGCTCCTTGAGGTTGCTAGGAGAAAACATAGATGGTTATCATTGGCCTTATGAGCTGTGCTAGCCATGTGTAGAGTGATAACTGCCAGAAAGAATGGAACAGGGAAGGGCCCTGGTTGTACAGAAGAGGCACGGGTGAATGAGTGAGACGCAAGTGCAGGTATGCCCTTCATTGGGACGTCTTGGAAAACCAGGTGCCAGTAGCTGGGCAGGTGCCCGCCTGAGCCTGGAGAGGTGGCACCAGCAGTGAATTGAGGGATGTGTTCTTCAGGATGGTAGGAGGCATCACATCTGTCATTTCTCTGGAGGTGGGGGTGCATCCATCCCAGTGGGTGTCCTTGGCTGGGGGTTGGCGTCCTTGGAGCTGGTGCCAGCTGGTGCAGGGGCTGGCATATCTGGAGAGCCCCTTGGCCCAGGCAGGAGGAGGGAAACTGCAAAAGGTTCTCAAAAATGGGTGAGGTTCAAGTGGGCTCTGGAGACTGCTAGGTTTGGTCAGACCAGAGTTTTTTGATGCAGTAACAGAACTTTTCCCAGGGACCTGTAGGTATCTGTAAGACAGTGGACTGGATTTACATCATAGCAAGAGGGTTGAAAATCCATACACATTTAAGGACTCTTAAGAACTGTTTGTAGTCAATGTTGTTATCAGTTTATCAAAGCTGCATTTATCAATATTAAAGTGTTGAACCTCTGGAGTTATATCTGAAACCAGTCTATCCTGTACCATGAAGTCTGTGAATAAGGTATAGCTGTCTTTAATTTTAATAGGAAACTTATTAATGAACTGTCAGTAATCTTGGGATTGGAGCTGTCAAACTGATACACCCTAGTTATCAAACATCGTCAGATCTGAGAAGGATAAATTTAAGAAATGAGACAGCTTTCCAGCTACCTAGGCAGCAATTCCAAGTCTCTCTGAAGTCACTGGGGGACAGAGGCCCCAAAGGTAGCATTTGTTCAGCTGATAGGCCCAGAAGATCTGACAGATTTTTCTGTGGAGTAGGAATTTGGGGAGGTCCTCCTACCTGTCTTGGCAGAGAGAACAATCGATCCCTGTTGCTCCTCTTTATTCATGGTCTGGACAGGATCTTAGCTTTTCGCTGCATGGCTGGCCTTGTCATAAGCTTCCAGGTGAAGGTTCTACAGCCATTTTTCTTCTTGGAGATGATACAGGATGCTGCTGCGGGGAGCTGACATGTCTCTTTACCATAAAACGCCTTTATATTAAATGCCGTGTTCTCAGATCTCTATGGGTGTTTAAGGACTGGAGGAACAAAATCTGTTAGATGAATTTATAACTTTGAGAGCATATATATGACTTAAATCTGAATATACAGGTTTCCCAGTTAGTTGCAGCTTAATGAAGTTAGTAAGGACAGGAGGACATAACCTTTGAGTACAGCTAGATTATAATCCTGAATGACTTATATAGAAATACTTATTTCTTTACTTTTTAATTTTTAAAAATTTTTTAATTTAATTTATCTATCTATTTATTTATCTATTTATTTATCTATCTATTTATTTATTTATTTATTTATTTATTTATTTTCAGTTTTGGTGTTTTGCCTGAACGTATGTCTATATATAATGTGCATGTGTGGTACTGGGTGGAGGCCAGATGGAAGCATTGGGGACCCCTAGAACTGGAGTTACAGAGTGGTGAGCAGCCATGTGGATTCTGGGAATTGAACCCAGGAAATACTTATTTCTTTTTTTTTTTTTTTTTTGGTTTTTCGAGACAGGGTTTCTCTGTGTAGCTTTGTGCCTCTCCTGGAACTCACTTGGTAGCCCAGGCTGGCCTCGAACTCACAGAGATCCGCCTGGCTCTGCCTCCCGAGTGCTGGGATTAAAGGTGTGCGCCACCATCGCCCGGCTAAATACTTATTTCTTAAGCTGTCTCCTGAGAAGGCAAAGAGGAGTGACAGGGAAAGATCCCAAGACTGAATGAGAACAGGAGAAAGGGGGCTTGTGAGTCA